TATTTTATGTTATCCCTTCGACGTTTTATGTCAAGAAAAAGAAGCTGAAGAGTGATCTATTAAGATTTCACAAAATCATTTTGCAGCACAAGTGGTATACTCAAAGGGTTCAAAAGGATTATCATAGGTCTAACACTGAAAGTTTTCATAACATCGTAGGTATCAATTAGAAGTTCACCGTTGAGCGTTCTCCATGGTGGGAGGATTCTGGGAATGCATGATGAAGATTATCAAGGAACCTCTAAAGAAAATATTACGAAGAGATTTTTTGCCGTATGAGGAATTAACAACAATACTTAGTGAGGTAGAATGTGTTTAAATAATAGACCATTAACTTACGAATGTAATGAGCTGGGTGAACCTCGCCTTGTAGCATCATCGCATTTCCTACTTCCAGTACGTGAGGATATCAGTTTTCCTTTACGCTTCACAGAAGTTTTCAACAAAGCTTCCGATCGGGAATAGAATAGACTGATAGAAGGAAATTCCTCAAGCTCCTCAAGTAGTTATGGTCTGAATGGAAGGAATAAAGTTTGAACTAAAGTTGCAGTTGAGGAACGCTCATCAGTTTTTAAATCCTTCTTCTGAGCGGAACATTAAAAAAGGAGATGTTGTTCTTGTAGAGGGATCAATAAAAAGCAAACTGCTTTGAGACGTGGGTGTCGTTGAAGACTTGCCAACAGACAGAGATGGACATGTGTGAGCCTGCATTATTAGCCCATCCAAAGGACAATTAAAAGATCTATTCAACTTTATGTCTTTTTGAAATCTGAACTTTAAGAAATATTAAACTAAAATATATTCATTTAATGCATTTCTTTATTTAGTGATTTCACATTTTTGTGTCTCCTGTTGTCCATAATGATAGTTTATTGTTTAATTTCATTAATGATGTCAATTGTAACTGTTTGCCAAATTTATTTAATGAATATTATTTTACTTATGCTTATTTTGTTATAGAGTATATTACTATTAGGTTATTGCAGTTATGAAAAAATATTGATTTCTTATATTCTGATTGTTATTATTTAAATTAGTGAATTCTTTAATAAGAGTACAGATGGGAAGAGCTGTGAAAAAATTTATAGTGTTATGGTGCTGTGGAAAAAGTTATAGTATTAAGGGCGCCGTGTCTCCCGTACAGTGACCCGTATTGTGGCCTTGTGTCTTTTAATGAAAACGTTCAATGCTGCGAGAGAATGGAGAGAAGGAATAGGTGCGGTTATGCAGAGGTAGGGTAAGGGTGAGTTAAAAGATGTATAATGTAACCCCAAAAAATTTCATAAATATTTGTAAATATATTTTGATACATAAAGTAGTATTAGAAGAAAAATAAGTGTGCTTATTCAGTATAACATGATATCAAGAGCCACCAATATATGGAGCAAACAAATTAATTCTCAGTCTCTGACACCCGTATTTATTATTGTCGAATTAAATAACTTTGTGCAAGCACAACTGGTAGAGGTCTGCACCGTGCTTTCAAGGTTGTGTTAGATGTCTGAACAAGAGTTGCTACTGCGCGTATTCAAACAGTGCGTTGCTAGTGGTATCAAATGTGCAAATTTTTGCAAGGTAGCACTGTCACAAAGCAAATAGTTGCCTATTTACACAAGTTTATAAAATGTACTTAAACAATATATAATTTGGTAATTTATAGGCCTATTATATAAGTAAATATTTTGTATGTACATAGGAAAGTCTATGTTAGCTATATACATAGGAAAATCTATGTTATAAATTGTACAAATTAATTATTACACACACGTTTGAATTCTTGAAGTTTAAGTGCCCATCTAATCAATCTTGGCCATAAATGTTTTCCTGAATATAAAAAACCCGCAGCCGCATGGTCGGAATAAACTGTAACGAGAGCTTTACCAAAATATACTCTAAATGTTTGCACTACTAACAAAACTGCTTGTGTTTTTCGGCTCAGCGGCGGTATAGTTACCTTGTGTAGGATTGAACGTTTTACTAAAGTACGCAACCAGCTGTCCTTTCTGTATAAGAACGGCACCACTGCGTAACCTCAGACATCCGAAGCAGTGTCTAAAAGATCGTCCACACTTTGAGAATTAAAGCTTGCCTCAGTTGTTCGAAAGCAGTATTGGCCTAGGATGACCAAGCGAAACCTTTTTTTCTTTTGAATTATAACAAGGGCTCAGCTATTTAAAACGAAGTCTTTAATGAAAGTCCTATAATACGTAAAACAGCCTAAAATTGAAGAAGATTTCTTTGCAGTATTTGGCGAAGGGTAATTTTAAAGTTTTCAATTCCTTTCTTTGATATCTTGCATCCCAAATAACGAAGCTCTGTAGCCGCGAATTTGCACTTGAAGGCATTTACTTTTAGTTAGGAAAGTAAATGAAAGTACTTTTTCCGAAGACAGGTCTCAAGATGATGTCCATTGCCCGGTGAAAAATGGCGGGAGCACCGTAAAAGCCGAATTGCATTCTCAAAAAGGCATTCTTTTGCACAGCACCACCGGGCTTGCGTAGGGGCTACTTATTGGCGTTTAATTTTATTCTTTAATATTTCCTGAATATGTTCTTCGATTATGTTTTCTTTCACTTTATCCTAGCAATAAGCTTTTCTTCTTACAGAAGCGGCGTTTCCAGTATCTGTACTATATCTTATAATTTGTGTGTAGTCTGGGCGTTCATCAAACAAGTTAGAGAACAAACTGACCAGCTTAGTAGTTTTTCTTTTCTTTTTACATAGATGGCTTATATCTCGATCACCGGTGGCTGCGTCCGTCTCTCTTCCAGCTTGTTCATGTCGAGCTAGAAAATAGATTCATAAAAATTCAATTTGGCACCTGCTGCCTTCAAGAAATTTAAGCCTAAAATTACGGCAGCTTGAAGATTTTTCACGACAAGACAACTTTTTGTTGCTCAATTTTGACTTCTACATGAAATGCTATCTTGCCTATGCATGTGAACTTCTTGCCTTGCACGGCAATAAATGTTAAACACACTATACTTTCAAAATATTTGCCCATTTGGTTCTTGCCAGACCCTATTATGCGTGTCTTTTCCGCCACACGTCTATTTTGGAACTTTGTGGCTAATTCGAATGAACTTCCCAGTGTTGCTGGATTTCGTAGTTCAAAATAATCCTGCATTTGCGGCAGTAACCTTAGCAAGGTAATTTGAATAATTTCTTCACCCGGCCATTTGCTGTACAACAAATTAAAAATTTGAAATTTCAGTAAAATAAAGTCAGTTAACTTTCCAACTTTAAACTGAAATTTACAAAATAGCTCCAACTCGAACTTAACCCTGTCTTTCATAATGCGGAAAGCTTTAATGAGAGCATTCTTAAAAATATCAAATGTGTATGCGTCGCTCTTTGGCTCACCCAACACAAATTTTCAAATGCATTTATACCACGTGGAAGGTTGTCCTCTAAGGGCGTCGGTTGTGATAGTAACTTTTTATGCCTCTCGCATTGGATACAGTGCAAAGTGGGAATCTAACTGTTCCCAGTTAGTTACAGCAGTTTTTCCATCAAAGTTGACTGCAGGTTTCATGGCAGCCCTTATGGTATCCACAATGGATAAAAATCCCTCCAAGGGATTAACTGAAGCCGATGGAACTTGCGACGTAGAGGAGACCAGATTAAATGCTGAATTTTCTTGAGCCATAGTTCTTTTCGGCCTTCGGACTTCAGTATAGAGTCTTAACCTCTTTGATAACACAAACTATGAGAGTTTTACAAAGACGTAAACGACTTATCGCTGTTTTTTGGAAATTACAGCAGAGACCGTGAAGGGTATAAAATACTCTTTTATTTAACTCAAATAAAAGGTTAACAGAAGGCATCGCTTGTGCTTACAGAACCAGCCAGCATTTACGGCGTAAATCTAAAACGTAATGAATTGAAATTAAACTAAGTTAATCGTAAGCTAGCCGAAAAGACTAAGCAGACAAAATGCGTACAAATTCGCTCAAAATCCTAATGTCTTGGTGACAAGCCTAATGGAGAGAATAACTCAAAGCCGCAGAAAAATAGCTCCGAAGAGAATCAACCAGCAAACGTGGCCTTCAGCAGACGGAACACGCCCAGATTCTACACTCTAAATACTATCTCTTTTCCATCTCATTTGAATATGCGTGAATTGAAAATTAGCATTATGGCAGGCATTATGGCGAGAAAGACAGAAAAGCGAATTAACACAAAATACCGGGTTAAAAAAATTAAATAAATACTCTACAAATGATGAGGCATCCGGTCCTTCAGAATTCTAAAAAAACGACTGGTGTCACTTTGGCAGGATCTCGGCCAAGTTTCATGGTTTGATGGTAGTCAACTTACACTTCAACCGGATAATACGTAAGTACCGTTTTATCTAATCAGCGTACTAAACAACCTCCTAACCAACATTCTGAAAACGTATCAGTTTCACATATTTGATTTCATTAAATGCTAACTCAAATGACACCAGATTAACATTAGAATACAAGAAAAGAAAAAAAAAATAGTTTAAGAATGCTTGGATATGTAAAAGTATCTGCTAATAAAGAAAAACATAACAGTTTTCCTGATGTTTGGCCTTTTTCCAATCATATACAGGGTAGATGCTTAATAATTTTAATTAAAAAACACTGTTTTGTATACTTTCTTAAAACTTGAATAAAAGATAAAACATAGTTGATCAAATTAGCTTCAGATGAAAAAATCATTTTCCTATAAAGTTTTGTTAAAACGTTTTCTTAAATTCATGTATCTAAAAGAAAGTATTTGAAAATTTTAATGTAACAATGACTATAGATTTTCTTTAGTCATGAATCTATATCGAATTTAACTTGGACATTTTTCAACTGTATAAATGAATAACGAATGTAAGTATTAGTTTATGAAAGCCACTGCGTATTTTAACTCAATCTATACGAAATATGAGGAATCAGACTTATCTATGTTTCGTGATAAATGCTGTATGATAAAAGGCAGTTGCTATGATATCTGATAACATTTTTGCCACTACAATATTAAACAGTACAAAAACCTAAAATGTATTGAGCAGATATCAAAATTAGTTTCTACTTTCTTTCTTCATATTTCGAAGATGAAGGTTTCGTAGTTTGTTTTCCTAATGCCCAGACAAGAGTGCATCACTTTAATTTTGCTAGTGTTTTAAGTACTTAAAACAATGTGTTGCACACCCTATGTAGCTACTATTGTTGCAGGCGTTCTCACTATTGTAAGTATTTTATGGTGGTTTCTGTGATTGCTTTAAAAGTTGTTGTTTTAGTTTTTGTAAGTAAGATAAGTATTTTAAATAAAATATTTTAATTTTTTACGTAATAAATTTTAGCTTTCTAAGTAAGCTATTTTAGCATTTTAAGTAAGATAAAGCACTATATATCGTTTACTATTATTTAAATATTTATATTAGCAGGCTTAAGTAAAATATTTCTACAAATGCTGCTAGTAAAGAAGCAATTGTATTTTATTTATTTTGGAAAGTATAAAAATTATTTACTTAAATTATGCGTGTTTTTGAATGTAAAACATGAATACGTGTTAATGTCTTTGACCTGCTCATTAATTAAATAAAAGCTTTTCAGAATTTTAAGTTTGTAAGATTTCTCCCCCCACCCGTAAAATGAATAACGTTACAAAGTTTACGATGTCAAATATTTTAACCGAAACAGATTGTAGGATTTTATAGTGTACTCATATATTAATAATACATATTTTACTTGATATGGTTATTTCAGTGAATGCATATTTCATGTTTTAAATATTCAGTTTCAGAGTTTTGCTAATCTGTGCTGGAATGTACCAATAATAATTAGCTTCAGTTTCAATAAAACTCAGCTATCGACATTAGCAACTATTAATACTTCAGAACTTGAAAATCCTTTCGGTAAGTTCTAATTATAAATTATTCATATTACTGTAAATTGTGCGTTTTTTTAAAAATCTTCCTTAATTCAAATTTATTCATGATTTCTATATTTTTTTATTATTATATTTGGTTATATGAAAAACCTATACGCAAGCATTCTCTGCAAAAAAAGGGGGTTCTACAAAATTGAAAGTTCAAAGTATCATTAAACAGAGAAAGAAATATGAAAAAAGTTTGGTGAGAACAGGAGAAACAAAGGAGTAGCGAGCAGGTGAATAAAATACGGTTTATTAATAACAACAGGTACATTTGGGAAATGCTCAGAACGCATAGAAGTTGTTCGAAGTTACAGCCATGCAACACACGCATGACATCTTCAGACCATGGAGTCATGGTCATCAAGATTCCGGGCATATATCAAACAGACGCAGCAGATGAAGATGCATGACAGAAGATCCTCTGCAGTATCTACGAGGGATGTCGTATACTGGAGCTTTTAAGGGATCCAAAGGAAAGCAATCAAGTCAAGACTGGTTCAGTGGTTCCTGTAAATAAACGGGTCCACATCCGATCCAGCGTGCCCAAATATCATATTTAAGTGACGACGAACCTCACCCTGAAATAGGCGGTGTTAGGGTGACCATCGAGAAAAAGAAATCGCGTAATTTAGGCAAGAAACAGGTATTAAATCCATTAAAAAACCCTAATTTGTTTTTCTTTTGTTTTATTCTTTTTAGGAGATTTTCCGAAATTATTTCCTATTATCGATGATTCTAACGTGAAACTGCTACATTAACATAAGCCCGACAAATACGGAAAGAAAAAAAGGCAATACTTGCCTCTCTGTAATTGTCTGCGAAGCTTCCATTTTAAATTATTTAAGTTTCCATTTATATACAGGCATTTTATTTATTTCACTTCAGCTCGGACCAGTTGTTATCTAAAACCGTTTAGAGTTCTTTCTCCCAATTGTATAAAAAATGCAAAAGTTTTGTTCGCCTAAGTCTATAAATTGCAAGCTACGTTTCGTTTCATTTTGTCTTATAATACTCCAGAATTTACAGCTTATTCTTTATAATTCTGCGATCTATGATAGAGGCCTTGTTTTATTTGTGGTAAATTATTTGATTAAGCGTCTGTGAATTTACTATTTTCTACCTCTTTCCAGCATGCCTTCGTGGTGTAATGGTTAGCACACTCGGCGCGTATTTGGGAGCTCCAGGTTCGAGTCCCGGCGAGGGCATTGCTTCTTTTTCCTTTTTCACGTCTCCCGTATACAAACTACGTAATGTCTCTACAGTGGCGCCTGAAATAAAAGGTGGTGGATAATGATTCTTCACCTGCAGGATTAAGGTATTTGCACATTGCAGAAATAAAAACATTTATGAAAAACCTGACAGAATTTTGCATTTAGTTGTATATGTGTAAAGTAACATGAATAAAAAACTTGATCACAATAAAATTCAAAGGATTGAATGCAATATGCTTGTTAGATAAAGTTATCGAAAAAAGAATTTTTAAAGCGTGTCGAGAATCCTCAGATAAAGTTCATCTTTAGCGAATGAAAACGTTATTCCACTTTTTTATATTTTTTATAAATAAAGGAATTTACCAATTAATTAAGTTTACTGCTCTATTTCTGAGCGAGTAGAATCAACTGTGTTTGTCTTCCAAATTGGTTGAAGTTTGTATAAACATAGATCGCAATTATATTAAAAAATTGAGACAGGGTTTTCGATAAAACATTGAAATTAAAGCAAACGTGTTACTTATTTAGAAGTACATAATATTTAAAAAATAATTGTTAAATAAATGTGAATATGAAGTTGAAAATATACAAATAAAATTATATTTGGCAATATGGCGCTGTTTTCCAGATATCATGGGATTTTAAACTTTCGGGAAAAAAGTCCTACATTGTTTATAAAATTCGTTAGAATGTTCGCCATTGACTGTAAAATTTCTATATTTAACGTACTTTCGGAAGGGAGTTGGATTATTTATACATTAAAAGCGGCTATCTTTTACTATTATGAATTTCTACATCAGTAGATTGATGTATATAATTAGAGAAAAGGCGAGAATAAAAAATTAAAAGACTGCGATATTTAAATATCCTTGTAAAATTTAGGAATTTCCAGTTACGCGATTAAATTTTCCTTTAAATATTTTACAGAATACTTTAATTAAGAAGCAATTATCTGTGATTCAAGAATGCATGTTAAGTTAAACGTTAAATAATGTGGAATCAGCTGTTGCAAAACCATTGCATCTAAAAAAATATAATACATATTCTTTTTTTCTTCTTTCAACTTTATAATTCGAGATTAATAATTGCCATAGGTTTTTTTTCCTTGCACGCATAGAATTCGTAGTAACTTATTTTCTAGTTGGGTGCTTACATAGCTTCCCGTTAATCATAATAGGTGGCAAGATGTTACCAAAACTGCACCAACCATTACTACGGAAATTTAAAGGAACAAATCACTCGTTATTTAGTTTTGCTAATCAGAAACAGCTCTTAATTTAATTAGCTAATCAATAGATACAATTTAGAAAAATGGCATATTAAAGCCGAAATAAATATGAGTTCAAGTTTCCAAATTTTCTGACAAATTCATTAAAAACTAGCGACAGTCGTTCCGACTGCCAAAAATCCCCAACAGAGTTTAAGTTACACTTTCATGAACTCGGCGTTATACAAATTCAAACTTAGAAACGAATCTAAGTAACGTTGCGCGATTCTGAAGTGTCTTTACTGCGCTATTGGCCTAAACTCCATAATCTTCCACTGCTTTGAGTATGCGCACCGTATAGCCAGACCCTCGACATTTAAAAATGCTCCAGCGTCATGAGTGGCTGAATGGTTAAAGACTGCTGAATGCTGAGAGTTTGACCCAGGTTTGATCCACAGCGAAGGGGATACGTAATTGATTTTCCGGGCTTTCTCCCTGTGTATCTTAAACACGATCTAGTTTACCTTAGAAATTCCTCCACGAAGGAATCCTCTTTTAAACAGATAGCCTTTCTCATACTCAAATAATTTAACCTTGAAAATGTTCCACTGCCTTTTACTATGTAGAATGCAGGACCCAAATTTTAATCATATTTTCAAAATGCAAGAGAAAAATAGAGAAATAGCATAGCTTACATTCTTCTGTACAAAAATTAAGTTGACTTCTCCAGGATTAATCAGGTTTATACAAAACTAGAGATAAGATTTTATGTGCGTTGTGACGTCACGAGTGCTAGTTATTGGATCTAAATTGCACTGTTTGACGAAATTGTCGAAAATGGTCCTAAGTACTTAAAATTGTGATATTATTTACAAAATAACTGTTGCACGAATTTTTAGAGAAAAGTTTTAATTCAGAATCAATCTCTAAACTTACTAGAGTCAGTTTTTTTTTTCGTTCTCAAAGATTCATTAGGGATTACATATTAGTAAAATAGGAAAAGGCATTAATTACTTTACAGAGCTCTGGTGGGAAAAATTAAAAGAAGGATCATAAAATGAGTTTAAAATTGGACGAATTCCAATTGAAATTTGAGAAATAGGAAGTAGAATGTTAATGCCGTCGAATACTCAAAAAAGGATTTGCCCTCGCTTCAAAACACTATGCAGATTGCTTCACCTATGCTCCCTATTGTGTCGAACGAATACGTCAACCGTTGCTTAAATCTTGATTGAAAGGATTCTAAGACTATTAGAACGTAAAGCTCAGGTGGGAGTACTAAAATATGTCAGTGAAAAACATCTAACTGATTTAAAAATTATGTTCTATCTAGAATGTAGAGGCTGGACAAAAACTAGTACAGGTAAGTGGAGATAAAAAATAAGCTACAGTAGCCTTTTCAGACTCTGAAATGGTTTAGAGACGCAGACGATATATCTGTATGCGCAGATCAGAAGACATCACAACTGTTTCTCATGACCATTTATTGGATATAATACCCGAAATAAAAGCACGAATGACTCCTTCATTAATTGTAAAAGTATTTGGTATAGTTAGAGAATCTCGAATATCTCCATGAACCGTGTGTGAAAGACTCCATAAAAAAGGCTTCTACCAGTATGCTTCCAAAAGAGTCAGGCTCGGAAAATATTTAGTTAAAATGCTGAAAATACCTTATAATTGGAACACCGCTGATTGGAGACAAGCTGTTTCTACTGTAGATTTTAGGTTGTTATTTTAAAGTGATTCTAGATTCAATTATCTTGTTACATTCTGTAGGGAGGCAGACGTATATAATGGTTCTGATAACATCCTTGAAAAACATCGATACTAAGAGCTCCGCACTAGCCGAGTGGATAATATTGCTGGAAACTTGATAGTTTAACCTAGGTTTAAATCCCAACGAATGGACTGATTGTATGGATATTTTCCTAGTTTTCTTCATGTGAAACGTGAATAGAAACCAATTTCTGTTAATAAATTCTCTACGAGGTGTTTTTAACTTGCAGACAGTCGGTGTATGCTTTGCCTTAATTAAAATCAACTTATTATTATCACAAAGTTAGTGTATTAACAAGGTATTTTAAGCCTGATAATTTTTGAAGATAGTTTTAGAAAGATATCGTTGAAAGTCTCTAATAAAATTCTAGGATTAGTTATTTAAAAATTTCCTCTGTGACGTAAGGTATGAGTAATCGATTTTCCTTATACTTTTGCAAGCAGCTGTATATATAAACCTCTTTCAGTTTCTTTGAATATTTTATACACCACTTAATTTTTATTACTAATGTTTTAGCAATATATGGAATAACTCTGCTTCTAGCCATCCTCAACGTACAGTTGCTGGTATTTTCATGTTTAATGCTGAAAGCGAATTCTGTAAGTATAACAATAATTTTTGGTTTAGAAAGGAAAATGTTTTTCATGTCTAATTTACTTTTATTTACAACTTTTTAAAATAAAATGCTTATTTGGAATACATGTCTTTTCTATATTAATTTTACGAAAAATGTTTTTTAACTGCAACTATATTTTTGGAAATGTAAATTACCATACGCTGTTTCACAATTTTGTTTTATGCAAAATGACGCTTTTAAAGAAGCAATGGACGAATTGCTATGTTTGTGCTCTTTCCGAAGAAAATTATTTGTATTTAGTTATAAACAATGCTGTGAAATCCATGATGTTTCGGTATCTAAAGCAATGATAGATAATATTATCAATAAGAAAGGGAAAAAATTCAAAGTTTGGCTTCAAGGAGAAAATTGTTCAGAATACATATCCAAGGAAAAAACGTCGTGTTTCGAATGTTGCAAAAGTAAGACCTTTAATGTTAAAAGAAAATAATTCGAAGTCAAAGGACAGTTGAATAATCATTAAAATTCTTAGTATCAACTGCAAATAAAGTGATTAATGTTGATTTGAATCTTAAAAATTCGAAAACATTTTTATGTGCATCGTATTTCTCCACTGCATATCACCGAAAACAGAACGTGGTGCAAAATTCCCTATGGGAAACAATTATTCGAACAAAAATGGAAAAATATTGTCACGATAGATGAATCTTAGGTATATTTAAATAACCACAATAAAAGGAGATGCATTTATTATCATCAAAGAGAAGAAAAGCATCTTAGAACATTGTTCAATGAATCTAAAGAAAGTTTTTCAAAGGGATTTATGATTGTTGTTGGTTTTTCACACAGGACAGAGTTTAAAACAGTGTCATCTTTTCGCGTCAATGCGGCCAAAATGACTAGTCTTGACTAGTCACTGAAGAATCACGCCCAGTTTAGATAGCGATTCGGGATGCATTTCCATACAAAGAGAACGTCGTATACATAAAAGCTCATTCCAGATTCATTAAGGAGACTGTTTTCACGCTGACATTTTTTTCTTGGGAGGAATTTTGAGGGATGGCAACATTAAGCTGCCTACTTGTGGCAGAGGCTACGTATAGATTTATTGTTGGGGATTTTCACACCCAGTTTATAATACTGTGGGCATAGATTTTTGTTCATGGGTGACGGTACTCGAAGTTCCTTCAGCTGCTATGGCAGCTCAGTTCCTTCAAATTAAGGCTGTTATTCGAAAGGACTGATTAATATTTTGTTTAACTTCAGTCTTACTTAGCATGTCTACGAACCGTCAGCTCCATTTCCCAAACTTCCTGATTTCAGTTCTGCCTATTAAAAGAATGGCATTTAATATACCAGCAAGACTTAATTGATGCTTTAGTTAGTAGCTAGTAAGACGCTGTTAAATGTGCAATTCTGGTAGAACAGTTTACAATCATATTAAGTAATTATGTCTTCGACACAGAGATAATGCAATTTTCTATTTTTTAAAATTTTATGTATAACATGGCATTAGCAGCAATATTTTAGAATTATTTAATTTTTAAACAAAGTACACTTATGTCCGTAAATTAGGAATAATTCAGAATCACCTGCAAATTGATCTCTAAAGTAAGAATTTCACCTGTAGAATTATTGCACACATCTTCAAGAATAATATGCAAATTAAAGAAAGCCATCAGATGACGCCGATAGTATGTTACAATGACGAGAGTGTAAGAGAAGTGTATATAAGGAATGGTAGCAAAGAAGTAAAATTGTTCACAAGCATTCTATAAGCCGCTCAGTGCCACTACCGAATAGCTATGACACAGAAGACGTGTAGAAATATCGGCTGCCAGGGATGTGGGCGTACTCAGATGAAATTATACGAGGAACTTAGAATAGCCCAAAGTGTCATCTCTAAGCTTTGGCAGCGATTCCAAAATGATGTAAATATCAGTAGACATTACAGTTAAAGTCTCCCGCGAGTTGCAACGCAGAACGACGACCGGTATTTGGCAGCAACTGATAAAAGAAGCAGACGGAGCACAGCATCAGACCTGTTATCTTCAGCCACGAGTACGACAGTTTCTAGGCAAACCGTGTATAGACGTTTGGGATAGATTGGTCTATATGCTCGCAGGCCTGTCAGATGTGTTCCTCTCTCGGCATCTCACTGTCACCAGCGGTTAGCCTCGAATAGAGAACATGCAATGTGGACATCGTCACAGTGGGCATGTGTGATGTTTTCCGAGGAGTCCAGGTTTAGCTTGCAGTCTGATTCACGTCGGACGTTCATATGGAGAACTCCAGGTACCCGCTACCACTAAAACATCATTGAACGACACCGTTACGGTGGTGCAGGATTGCTCGTTAGGGGTGTGGTTTATACTGGGCTCCAGAACAGATCTACATGTTTAGATCAGAACCATGCAGGCCAAATTTATCGGGACATCATTCTGGAACAGCATGTACGTTTGTTTAGGGGTGCGATGGGCGAAGAACTTGTGTTTATGAATGATAATACCCGTCCTCACCGTGCAAGCATTGTAAAGGAATGCCTTCAGTCTGAGGATATCACCTGTATGGAATGACCAGCATTCTCACCTGACTTGTATCCGATACAGCATGTGTGGGACATGTTTAGCTGAAGAATTGCAGCCTATCAAGCATCTCCTACCAGCGTACCGGAACTTCGGTGAGCAATGCTTGTTGAGTGGAGTAATCTTCTCCAAGATCAGCTCGATAATTTCGTACTGAGAATGCCTAGGCCTTTTACGTACTGTATGTTATCGTCTTGGAGACATACAATGTATTGACCATCATAACAACCATGCAATTTTAAGGTTTTGTAAAGGAGATATTTTTTGTAATTGTTCCTGGGAGCAAAAATCATAGTTTTTATGAATGGTATCATACATACACCATCTTTTTTGTTCTTTGTCTTTTGTTTAATAAATGTGCTTTATGAATAAGTCACGTTTTTGATTCTGAGCCTTTATTTGCCAGAGCTGGCATTATCCTTAATTTATGGACATGAGTGTAATATACTATTATGAATTTTACGCAAGCTTTCTGCGCATTTGTTTCTTGCATCAAAAGCTTAATTTGATTCTAACGATTATTCTTTATTGCTATTTAATTTACAGAATCTGTTGATTTAAGGCCTCAAATTTACGCGTGCGTTATGTAATGAAATTGTATGATTTCTTATCTAGACTATGAAGACTTCTTGGATAGGTGCATGGTGTATTCTGATCAATGTCAAATCTCTGGTGAATGTTTTACTTGGAATATATTTCTTCTATGTGTACGGGGTGAGTTGCTTTTCAAACAGTTCCGCATTCCCCACAGGAGTCTTTAAAATTAAGCAAATTTGTGAAATTGTTTTACATATTTATCTCATATCAATCTAATAAATTGAATTAAATAGTTATACATTTATGATAAATCTTAATTAAATTTAATAAAATAAAAGCATCTGCGCTTTTAGCTTACATTCGTAGAAGGAAATGCTATGATACTAGGAAAGAAACACTGTGTAAATAATTCAAATGAAATAGTTAACTATTTATAAGAAACCTTAATAAATTTAATAAACTAAAAGCATAAGCATATAAGCATGTTCTTAAGCTACTTTAAACGAAGTAAACTTTTGTTGTTATCATGTTTTCTTCTTTTTTATATTTCACAATTATTTTGTAAACATTGTTTTAATCAAGAAACATTATTAATTTTTTACACGAATGAGAATGCTTCTAAATACTTTATAAATGTCTCCTGCTAAAACCTGTATTCTTTGATAATTAACGTATGCGGTTGAAAAAAAAAGGTCTCATTCACGATTCTTCTGAGCAAATGAAACCGAAAGAGTTTAACATTTAACCTGAAAAAGTACGCAAAATTTCTTTTGATAAGTCATTTATCTAATCTATAGCTATAATTGAAAAAAAAAAAAAAAAAAAAAACTATGTAAAGTATATGTCTGTTTGGGATCATAAACTTTTAAAAGGAGTCTTGAAGAATTATCTTCTAGCCTTGTGAAATAAAACAAAAATCAGAAGAAGAGTGTATACAGGGACTGTAAGACCATTTTATTCAAACATAAAATTAATAATAACCCAGCATACAAGAAGCCATTCACTTCTGGCTTAACAGAATAACATAACAAATACTTTTTTGAAGAATACTTTAACACGCAGGAAGAGCTCTGGTTTATAGTAAATCGATGAGACAAACCTAATGGCTGGAACACTCAACGCCGCTAACACAAGTCGTTAAGCAGGAAGAGCTCTGGTTTGTAGTAAACCGGCGAGACAAACCTGGTTGAAACACTCAACGCCACTAACGCAAGTCGTTAATAATCACAGCACAACATGGCCTTGAATAGGCAAACACACTCTGAAACTAACTTCCGAAACTCTTGCTTAAATAGCACTTTATTCTACCTTAATTCCAATGAACTCTCGCTATCTCATTTACATTCTGGCATGAAAAGTGTGGGTGAAAAGAGAGTAATAGGAAAGTTTTTTTAAACTAAAAATGAACTATCAATTAAAATAAATATATAAACCTCAAACTAGATACTTTCGTCAACGTTATCTTTGATAGATATTTTGCCCTTAAAACTGAAGCCTGAAATATACGAAAAATTCCCAATGAAATGAGGTAGTTACATACTATAGGAAAGTCTAATTACAAAAAATTTTCTAAAATATTTAGGTGATTTTATTCAAGCTTTTCCAATGTTTAAACTTAGCATTAGAGACAAAAGTCCTAAAAGACAGACTATAATCAACTTGTAATTAGGAAAAGTCTTGGAAATATTTGAAGCAAACTAACTCAAAACAATCATCAAGGTGTTTCTTTTTTCAAAGCAAACCACTTTATATTTTGATATTGAAGAGTACAACTTAATGTTTAGTAGAAATTTTATAAAGAAAAATATTTGGAATCTTTTCCTTGACCGTAACACCTTAATGAGCTGAAAAAATATGCTTTAAATAATTTTGGGTTATTTGTGTATAAATGTAATAGCAGAGGCTTTCTAAATGATAGCATACATAAAGGGTTTTGAAACTGAATTTAGCAGACGCTGATTAGTGGTGATTCCCAAGCTACTTTCCAGTGGCTTGGGAATACTGTGAGTACTAAGCAGAACTGATACATATGACGCAGTTGCTCTGTGTTACAGGAAAATGTTTTGTTAATAATCGTAATAATATATTTAAATCTATTTGTGTAGTGCTATGCAAGGAATTAACTTGTTTAAGCGTTCTTTAATAACAGTGTTCCCTGTTAAGTTATTAGTTTCAAAAATCGACCTTGTTCATAGAGGACATGAAGCTTACATTTCTAGTATAATTTTCAAGAAGCAAATATGACAGCTCTATTCACTATTTTTCTTTACATACGAGTAAACTTAATACGGTCTTTCTCATCTCTCCCCCAAAAAAGTAAAAAAATGAATTGCATTATACGGAATAGCGCCTACTTTATTCATACTTTAAACGTGTGATTATTGAATCATATACGATATTCCCCGCTGTTCAAGAAACGCTTTCTTCCATTTGTTTTACTTTCTCTTTGTGGTTCATCTATGTAAGTCTTAGGCTTTCTAAGAAATTTAAAATGAATGGATGTTATGATTACTCTACTCAATCTTTTTTTTAAAAATATTTATGTACTAAGATCAAATTGAAACAATAGGCACGTGATCAAAGTTAAGGTGGCTTCGGTAGAGATAAGAACAACAATGCAAATTTTGTGATATGAATGTATATGCGTCTAATTTTAGAGCTCTTTCTCGAGAAAAGCAAAACAGTAATTTATTTTTAAATAAAATATTTCAGTACGTTACGCAAATAGTCTATTTCGTAAGCAAAGTAAAAGTTAAGCTTAATTAAACATAATAGTATTGAAGGTTAAATTACCTTTGTTTAAAACATCAGATCAATATTAAAATTATTTTTATTTAAAATAGGGAATATTATAATAATCAAAATAATTTCCAATTAATTTTATTTAAAAGAGAGGAAATAATAGAATGACGGATATTTACGCATCCCAAACGCTAATGTTACGCGTTTTATATATGCAGTTTAATTGCGCTTGTATGGATTTGCAGAAGGAAAGCAGAAAGTGATTTTTCGCTTTAGCGCATTTCAAATTCTTTGTGTTTTAAACTAGTCCACTGACTGCACGCCACTGGCGTCCTTCTAGTACACTGACGGCAAGCCACTTGCAGCCGTCTACGGCGATGGTTTTCGGAGAGCGCCAGCTATATGTTTCTTTGAATTCTATATGTTTCCTTTTATTTATTTATTTATTTTCACATTGCATGTGTGTTTATGCTCTGTTTAATGTACAAACAAGACTGCCCCACCCACAATGTACATCAAATTTCAATGTAGCACAATATCGCTCTTGTATGGCCATGTTTAATCTGAATGGAATATCAATAAGCTCCCGGTGCGGCCTTGTGCGGCTCCAGGGAGTTGTTGCATCTGGATAGTGGAAGGTGTGGGACATATGTCTGCTTACCCCTGTTAAACACCAGGCGTCCTCGTCCTCCGTCACCTGTCACCTGTTTCTTTGAATTGACAAACTGATAGAGGCGTATTTAGTTTTAAATTATGAATATGTTTAATTTGTCAGCTGCACTGACCATATTTGAGCTAAAAGTTTTGGTTCATTTTCTTTTCAGTCAAAAATTAGTTTCACCATACTAATAGCTAGAAATAAATCTCGTATTATCCCAACTTTCAAATCGTGGATGGTTTTTGAGTTCATTTAATGTTTCCAAAACTTCACAAATTTGAAAATACTGCGAACACTCATATCAGTGCTAATATTTGGGCTCGATTTATGATGAAACGAAGTTCAGAACACTGCCTTTCCACTATTAAATAGTTGTCCTTGTGACTCATACATTTAAGCAGAAATCGATGCTTAAAAGAACAGAGACGTGGTCTGAGGAAAAGTCTACATATTTCTAAGGACAACTAAAACTTCAAAGAATAAATTATATTTGGGTGCATAGAGAGAAGTTTGATAACTATTATTAAATCTTCATGCACGAAATAAATTATAAGCAGATAAAATTCGACGATATTGGAAAATAAATTTCAAGGAATTTCAGGGTGAAGAAGATTTAATTATTTCAAATATTTAATAGTATTTTCATTTAAAATATTTTAACCGACTGTTAAACAGATACCTTCAAATTTGTTTTCTCATATTCCTGGCTATATATATTCAGCATGTACGAGAAAAAAGTGATGCATGTGTTTTCTTCAAAGCATTTTCTAGAAATGAAGGGATTTTTCCTTTTGGTTTTATATGGGCACTTATTAATTTCTCTTTATTTTTGTTTCAGGATAATCTCCTAGCGAACCCCACTTATTTCCATTTGGCCGTTGTCTTTTCAGGAGTGTTCTTTTTCTGGCCGACAATAAATGTATGCGTTTTTGAATATTTTAAAATTTATGATATTAGATAGAATGTGATATTATTTAAGCAACATTGGAAAAGCCATAATATCAAATAGTACTTTTCTGTCAAAGAAACACCAGTTGGATTGTGTGTGTCCCACACTCACGCTGGTCTCCCTTTAACGGAAAAGAACCTATAACAGTTTAAATATCTATATCTCTAATTCAGAAGTTTAATGATATCAATAAAATTTACATTCGTTTTAGAATACTGTTTTAAAAATTATGCTATCTTATCCAGTTATGATTTTGTCAAAAATCTTACCTACCAGCTTTTAGGTCTTCTGCGCCGACTTATATACACATAGTGATTATAGTTATATCAAAGTCAGGATATAGATAAGATAAAAAGAACTTTATATAACGCGTAATAAGACCGACTATCGTCTGGATCAGTGTTTCTCAATGTGGTATGTGGATCGTAGGTGGTTCACGAAGTAGGTGGTTCATACCAATCATCAGTCGCCTACTCTCCCAAGACGGACATTTTATGAAATTTATCACAAGTTACCTAAGTACCTTGTACACTGGTTTGTCTTTAAGTTTAACTGCCAAAACTAAATGAACTAAATATCTATCTTTGAATGTGCTCAATGCCCATAAGAAAAGAAACTTTCCAAACTTTTCCAAAATTTCCAACTGTAGAATATTTTTAGTATAAAATGATATTATTAGAACGAAATTTTGCAATGAAATATGATCGCATTTCGAAACTCTGAAGTCCCATTTTGAAACTTGCTTTCCATATCGTAAATACAACGAATTTTCATGGATTCGTGATCCTTTCCATTGCGAAACTGAAAATAACAAACTATCATTGAATGAAAGAGAACAGTTAATTGAAGTCTTGAATGAACCTAGACTTAAAATGAATTTACAGACAGAAAGTGTGATTACTTTCTGGATCCCATTACAAATGAAACAGAATTTAGTGTATTGTATATACACTACCCGACACTAAAAATGCAACACTAAGAAGGAATGGCCCGAAAATTATGCAAATTTCATGGTAAACACAGATTTATGCAAATGATATGCAGCTCTCCAGCGCAAGTTGAAGAAGATATATAATATAAGGGAAAGAAGATGCAGAATGTTCAATTTTCGTGCCGTTAATTCTACTACTGAAATCATCGTAAAAAACTTGTTCTTGTCTCAGAAGACTCGTGTAATAGCAGAGAATGCCAGGCCCTCGTCAACGAAGGCAGTTCCAGTAGACGGACGATTTTACGAGGGGCATGGTGATCGGACTCAGAAAAGCAGGTTGGTTCATATGGCAAATCTTAGCTGACACACACCTGGACGCGTCCACAGTGCTCCGGCTGAGGCGACAATGCTCGGAATAAGGAAATGTGGTAAGTTCGAGGAGTGCCTGTGTAGCCAGAGGGAAGCCAGCTCGCGTGGATAGACGTATCCGCCGAAAAGCAATGACGCACCTGCAAGCGACTTCTACCTCCATTCTGAATCCTGTTCAAAACATCCTGAATGTTCCCATGTCGATCAGAACCATTTGCCATAGATTGTTGGCTAATGGACTGCACGCGTGGCGTCCGTTAAGAAGACTGCCATTGACCCTACATCATAGATGCCAACGTGCTGGGCTCTGCCATTGACCCTACATCATAGATGCCAACGATGTGGACAAAGGAATGGCACAGGGTCGTCACTCTTCTGTTTTCACAATGGTAGTCGCTGCATACGAGTGTGACGTCGATGTGAAGACAGGCCAAATCCGGCAGCAATTGTGGAGAGCCCCACCGCGCTATAACGACGCATCATGGTTTGGAGCGCAACTGTGTACGATTCCAGGTCACCTCTAGTTCGTATTCAGGGCACCATGACGGCCCAACGGTACGTGGATGATGTGCTGCGGCCGGTGACACTCTCCTACTTTCAAAGAGTGCCCAATATCCTTTATCAGCAGGATAACGCCGGACCAGACACTGCTCGCATCAGCCAACGTGCTTTGCAAGGTGTACATATGCTTCACTGGCCACCGTTATTCCCTGATCTCTCACCAATCGAATACATTTGGGATGTGATTGTATGCCATTTGCAGACCCTGCAGTTGCCGCGTTCAGAAGTCGAAGTGCGCAAATGGTTGACAGAGAATGGAGAGCCATTCCTCAAGGAACCCATCCGTAGTCTCCCTGATTCTGTACCTAGAGCTGTTGCTTCGTGTGTCGCCGTCCAAGGTGCCCTACAACCTACTGACCCGCCGACGCTGTTCTTTCTCTCTCTGTATTATCGATATCATTTCGAAATAAAGAATATTTATTGTTCGAATAACATTTATTGTTCTGCGAACTTCTTCGTTGCTGTTTCTTTGTTTGCCGAGTTTCATCACTTTTTGGCCACTTCTTGGTGCAGCATTTTCAATGTCATTTTCAATATATATATATATTGTTGTATAGTATATGTCGTATAGTATATTGTTGTACAGTATATATATTGTTGTACAGTATGTATATTGTTGTACAGTATATCTTACATATAGCTTTGTTGTAATATATGTATTTTAACACAAAATCGATTTTTTCTGAAATGGTATACCTATTTTTTTCCATATTTCAATTCTACGACTCAAATTGCGCCATAGTTCCACGTTTTGTAAAAATTGCTGCAGTAATTTTTTTAATACCACTCAAAATTTTTTATAGTAATTTTTTTAATACCACTCAAAATTTTTTATATTCTTTTGGAAAAGTCTGTTGTAGTTCAGGCAATCTTAAAATTGTTTTATGTGGCATTTTAAAATAAATTGCTTTATTCATATTCAAATGCTATGTTTTATGTGAACGGAACATCATATTTTAATGTATTTAATATCAAAGTTAAACGTTTCGCATTCTAAATTTGAGACTTTAATTCTAAATTTAAGACTCGAATGATTCTTATTACATAAATTATTTAAACTTCTATACATTTCTTTAAGATTAATTCAGTGGTAGTAAAACTGTTGAAATAAAGATGGAAATTTAGTTATTGAATCCGTGTGCAGAAATTAGGTAATATATCGTTAGCGTCGTTGCTGCATATTTGTTTAGTATCCAGACTGCATCTTTTCTTCTCACAGAACTTGATTCTAAATGAAAAGAGCCGAATTTTCTTAGATAAACGGCCTAGGCTCCCTTTTTAAGAAATATTTATAATCAAATCTATTGTTCGGTAAAATTAACAAACGAAAACCTGATGGTTTTTTTTCACGAAAATGTTATAAAAAGAGAAAATATTGTTTGGAAAGTAAGGGTTACAAATGCTTCTGAGCGATGAGAAACGGAATTAAAAGCGTTAGTGCATAAAAATGGAAGATTAATTTCATAAGTTTTTCAAATCTTTTCTTAATGAAAGGCGTTTATTACACATTATATTATGTAATTAAAGTGAGTGCATTAATGTGCTGGTGAAGAAGATGTTCTCTCAAAATAGGGCTACCACGTCGCTTGTAGTTTGAAATATACTACATCTTTATGCATGAAATCAGTTCCAAATAAATGTTGAACTATTTCAGTTTATCAGGTTCAGTGTTTCTCCTTACTTGCTTTGGGAACATTCAAGAACCTGACTCGGAACAGGGAGCTTACTAAAGCTATGTTCAATAAATGTGGGAAGTAGACAAGATACACAGGAAGGGTATACGAAACCCTTTATTTTTCACTCTTTACAATGATTTCCGTACTTCGAAATATAGAGACCAACCACTTGTGGTCTGAACGTAAGAATATAAAAATATTAACTAAACTCTAACTTAACTTTGGAGTAACAAACAAGGGCCTCCGAGAAGATTAGCCGTATATTAACAGGGAGCCGTATGTAGTACAGAGAACTGTTAACACTACAATACGTTTAAAATTATCAGGAGGATTAAACCTCTGGCCTGGAAGGCAACCAGCAACCGAGTAAAAACTGCTAAGGCAAGCGACCTGCTTCTACTAACTCCTTCCTCTCTCGCTTAGCAAAAAGCCACAACTTAAGTACATAAATAAGTTAAAGCTTTTAATTCTGGCCGGAAGTAGAAAATAAGAAGTGATAGTAAAGATTTAAAATAAAATAAACGTTAGTAAAACTTAAGATCCTTACAAGTTATTGAATTTCAAGTGGTTTTTTTTCCCTGTTACTGTAAGTTTAACTTCATGTCTTTTCTACGATTAGGATGAATGATAAAAGTTTCTGTAACGATTGTGTTTGATTCACGTTATGACTGAGCTGATATCAAACAACGTTTGAACTTTAATTCTTTTTTAAAATTTGGCTACGTTTTGTTATTTAAAATATTATATTAAAGGATAGATATAAACAGAGGAGGAAATATTTTTTATATTAAATTATATACTTTGAATTTTTCAGACAGTTCTCTTTATAATGGTGTCCAAGAGGTACACAGATATAGTGAAATTTCAAACAACGGTAAGAAAACTTACGTTTTGTTATATTAAATTTACCCCTAAACATTGCCCAAGTTATTGAAACAAGCAATATTTCAAAGCATTAATGTTTCTCACTGTATAGATTACTACTTGAAGGTAGAAGTTCTAAATATTAATCGCTAGAACATTTTTATTCTACTAATTTTAGCTTTGAGTCACGCAGGTTTTAGAAATTTTGGGAACCTGTGGAGTTTTTGCCCTAGAAATCTGTTTTTTGCGCTAGAAGAAGGAGTTTTTACCCTAGAAGTCTGATCTTTTACTTAAGAACTTCTTTTATTTTAAGCTGCTCACCAGCGGTCGAGCGGTAAAATTGCTGACTACTGATCTTTCTGTCCTGGGTTGGATTCCAGGCGAAGGAGCCAGCTGCATGGGCGTTTTCGTGGTTTTCTCCACATGTAAAGTGTATACTAGCCAGTTTCCCTTAGAGAGTCCTCCACGAAGACATCTCTTATCTTACGCAGATAGCCCTAGTATGATTTACCATATCTACCAAAACGAAACCAAGCGGTCTAGGCTTCAAAAATTATTGACTGACAAATAAAAGTATTCTTCTTCACGAATTCATCATGCATCTACTATCCACAAGCGGAGTTTTGTTTAATGCGCAATGTATAAATTCAAGTCTCAATGACCTCTTACGAAAAACTATGATTTAACTATTTACGAAACTCTTATTATTCTTTTCGAAGCAAAACTGAAAAAAAAATCCTTTTTTACGTTGATAGTCTAACTAATTTCATTGAAGAAAATGTTTTGGGAAATTACTAGTAGCATTTTCGTAACAAAGAGTTTAAGATCTTAAAATACCAGTTTGAAGACAATTCAGTTAAAGTATGAGGGAAGAGTGTTTCACACGGAGTTGCACAATGCTTAGTATTTTCATTGACACTAAAACTCTAACTGAAATTTTTTTACAATAAAACTACAATTTAAATGAATGATGCAGAAATACTTGCAAGGACCTGTGAATTTGAATCCAATGGACATGCTTTCCGGTAATCTGTTTTCAAAGCATTTCGTGGAAACATATTTATGATATCATAGAAAGAACTCGTTAACATTATCAAGAAAACTTGGTAAAATACACTAGTTAACAGAATAAATCGTATTCTACAATGTATCCAATCGAGATACTTGTACAAGTCGAAGAGCTTTAATCAGATGAATTAATCATTTCGCATTTTCTAATCAATCGCCTGACAATGGATATCTTTTTCATAGTAGCAAAAATAGGTTCTTTGCATACAGCTTTCTGAATCAATATAAAGTTTAAGAAAAGGAAATACTGTTCAGAAATCGTTCGATAACCTTCTCGCTAATTCTTTGAATTTATCATTGCAAGACCTTTAAAGAAGCAACTATTCTGTACGCCAGTACAGCTACCGAAATGCACCGCAATGCAGAAACAATAGTTCGAATTTGTAAGCAGCAAATTGAAAAGAGAAATAAAATTAATGATAGAAACAATGTTGCTAATTTTTACCTCTTTCCTATTCATTTGGAGTGCCTCTTTCTAACAATGGGGCGACAGCTATCAGAAGGAAGTATGATCATTATAGAGGAAGACTGCGCCTTACAAAGAAAAATTCTTTGAACAGGATTCTTTGATTGCCTTAGCTAATGTCATGTCACAACAGCTTCATTGCTTGTTATCCATAACTTCGATAACCAACGAAATCTGTAGTTGTATTTGGATTTTCCAGCGTCATACTAATTTTATTTTCAGACTGCTCGAAATAGCTGCCTCCATCCTTTGAGGAACCTGTTCCTCAAAACGTTCTAACATCGCGACAGACTGCAGTGATGTCATGCAGTGTGATCTGGTGCGATGAATAGCAAAGCATCATGTTCAGCAATCTAACTTTTTATCTGAACACTTACGATTGTCGATTAAAGCTATGAAGAAAACAGGGTTACCAAGCTGATTTTACTGTTTCTATTACATGAGTCGTTTGCAAGTGAGTGGAATCGGAGCTTAATATGCAATCAGAATCTATAGACTGTTTTAGAAAGTACAGAATCTACATACGCTAGTAATTTGGGTAAAATGAATGTACCGTACACTACATTGATGTACAGTACATTTATTTTACTCAAATTTCTAGTGGCTTGTCTCATTTTACCCAAATTATTAGTGGCTTGTCTCGTTGTCATATACTTCAGAACATATTAAAGGCGTTTATCCGGAAGACATTGCAAAAACACATGCATACAGTTAATGTTAACAGTCAGTCCCTGAAACTCTTGGCTTCAGGCTTGTATTTGAATGGTCTTTAGACCTCTGTCTACTTGAGAACCTGCGAGACTGTTGGTTATTTGAATACCAGCTAGAAGTCCTAGCCATAAGAATGAATTATGTATCCTAGCAGTGTTTCCAGATCGCGCGATGTATCGCAAATTTCTACTTTTGACAAACTTGTCGTAATACAATTTATGTTATGCGATTCTGCAAAATTTCTGCTACTTAACGTTTTTTAGTTTATCTTAAAAATTCATATATGTTATTATAATGTATCTATTAAAATTAATTTATAATACAAAGTAATAAATTATTTAGGCTTAAGTAAAAGTAGGTAAATGCGGAACCTGATATCGTAACCCATGAGTGCATAGGCACTCCTCAATTTTCAACATATGTAGCTGGCAGTTTCGTGTGTTCCATTTATTCCTCTGTTTAATATTTTGGTCATCTATGAGGAGGATTCCAAAGCATAAATCAGATTATAACTTCTGTATTAATTAAGGCTGAGTTATGAGAAACATGAAAAAATTCAGCGCCACCTTTTAAAATGTTTGGCTTAAAGTATGTTGCAAGTTATATCAATGTGAGGTGAGGGCGCTTAAAATTAATTTAATGAAGTGAATTACTTCTTTAAAGCATGAACAAAATTTTATGTTTGAAAACGGTTAGTTTTCCGAATGTGATGACTGTGTTTATTCTATAGTGTATTTTATTCTAATGCTATTTGGCTATTTGATTAATTTTAAAATGAAAAGTTATTAGAATACTTTACACATAACAGTCCGAAAAAAAAGATTCAAACTTTTAGAAATTAAGAATCTGGTCAAAATTTAAATAACTATCTCATTTTAAATAGCAACAGAAATAAACTTAACAGTGAAAGAAGGTAGCTTCTGTCAGCATTTAGAATATGATGAAGTGGAATGAGTTCAACAATCAGAACGGAATATTGACTGAAAAGCTTTAATAATAAGCAAGAAAAAGAGAATAAAAAATAAACCGCCAATTCAAGTTACGACAACAATTAGTACAAATAAACAAGAATTAGTAGAACAATGTTAGTAATGCAAAAGTGAAAAATCATCTAACAACGGATATAAATAAATTAACAGAGAAGCAACAGCCTAAATTAACTGTGAATTAATTAAAAGAAGAAATGGAGATTTAAACCTACAGAAAACCTCGGAGAGTGAATTTGTGATGACGTTAGAGGTCATCTGAACTCACGTATCTATGACGTCACAAAATCCCATGATCTCTGACGTCAAGTGCTTCTTTCGTTTTTTTTTTTTTTTTTTGGGGGGGGGAGGCTACTTTCATTTTCAAAAATTTCTGGCAAAATTGCAGTCTAGTGTTGTTTATATGTTTATTTAACTTATTAATTTTGATGGTTACATATATTTTCTCTGCCTTAAAATGTAAGGGCAACGTATTTTCGGCCTTTAGATTAAGAAATAAATGGTACACATTTCAGTAATGACAAGGTATTCCATGTCTGTCTGTTTCAATGATATGAATTTAAATCTCATAAAGATAGCGTACGTGATATAATAAAAAACATATTCATTTTCGAAATATGTATGATTTGCCAGCTGTCTAATTTTGTAATTAAGCAACATTATTATATATAAAGCCTGGAATATAAGATTTATTCAAGCAGGTTAATAGCACTTTAAATAGTAAAACATACTTGCAATTCACATTTAGTTAATTTTCAGCATAACATATTGTTGCCCTAAAACCATCAAAATACGCATTTCTATTGCAGAACGGAAGGGTTGAAGTGTCAACAAGAGAAGACGCTGGTTTGCCTCCTCCATACACAACAGGAATATTTGCACGCTCTCAGTCTGGTCATGCCGTTAATAACATGGTTGTTACAGACTCAAGAGAACAACTTTTGCTGCATTTTGAAGATGATGATAGACAACCTACCGCGATTCCGCGATAAAAGAGTGAATTTATAGATGTAGATATATTTTAAATTATGTTGTATTTTTATTCTATCACAATTAAAGTAGTTATTGTAACTTAAATACTTCTATATTGAAGCAATGCTGATAATTACTTAAATCAAAACTCTTCATTTTCTAAAGGATTACTGTGCTTTGTCAGTATACCGTATCTAAGAGTTTCACATAAACACGGTTTATTGTGTTTTACAAATAATGAACATCTTAACATTCTTTGATGGATTTCTCAAATCTAAACGCTTCTCAAAGAAATACATCGAGAAACGTTTAAGCGGAATTTGAGAAATAAATCTTATCTGAGTCTGATTACGCATTATTCATATATATTCCGATGACTCCTTTCCAGCTTTAAAAAAATTAAGACTTGAAAATTTTTACGGCCCAGTTTAAAAAAAAATTCAATAAGAAAATATTTTCATATTGCCGAATCAATGATTAAAAATAAGCCACGATATTGCAACTTAAGCTTTTCTATGAAAAACCACTTGTACACAGGAGGCGTAATTAATAATATCTCTGGGTGAATTTACAGAAAGACAGTTATCAAGATAAATTTATAGACACAATAGATTTTTCAGAGCAGAAAATGTGAAAAATCTGCTATGCCCTCGCTAGGTTTCTTTCCAGTTGCTAGCTGGATGTTTTGCCATTATGGAAGTTTTAAGAAATAGACTAACCCGGCCTCCACTTGCCGAGGAGAAAATGGGATGATCAGCTGTACTGTAAAATTGAAATAGATAGTGCTTACATCACATAATAATTTTTAATCAGTAAAATCAGACGTTGCACGAGTCATAAGATGATGAAATTCACACTGTTTTGAATAATGAGCAAACGCCTTCGCCGGGAATCGAACCGCGGACGTCAGGAATACCAGCCCAGTGTGCAGAACCACTACACCACGAAGGCACTCTAAGAAAACGGGAGAAATACCTTATAATTGTAACATATTTGTTTTGGCATGTTTAAAAAAGGAGCTTTTATATATTGGCAAAAGGGAAATTAGATTTACTGCATTTTAAGTAAAATTAGTAATCTGTTCGTAAATTATCATTTTCCTGTGATTTATAGTAATATGCAGTTGCATGATGCATACAATAATAAAACTGTTATTATTTTAAACCAAATTAAATTCGTTATTTATTTTAGATAGATTTCCTCAGGTTCGTATGGAATTTTCCAGAGAAAGCAATGCAAAATATTCTATATTTTTTAAAACTTTCAATATTGTGGCATTTTTAGTATTAATCCCTAGTACGCATTTCCTTAAATTAACTATTAGAACAATTATTTCAATTTACATGAAACCTGTTAACAATTTGCAGAACATTTTAACCTTCCCAGAAAGATAAGTTTTCTGAGTAACAAATGTTGCATTTGACTGTTTAAAATTTTAGCAATAAAACTAGACCTACAAGATGAAAATTATAAGCGGATCAAAAGCAGAGAACAGCATGATTGTCTGAGTCGTATTGAATTTTCCGTCTGTATTCAGGGTATCACACAGTATACGACAAGTGAGGAAAAAAAAACCTATTTCGGCTAGTCTATTTCCTGAAATTTCTATGACTGCGTTGTATACAACGAGAACATGCACAAGAGAACCCGTTAACTTCCATGTAGGTCTTGGAGCACAAACGTCTACGAAGTGCTTTATACATTAGGAAAATTTTAAGATTTCAGTATAGGTTTTAAGTTTCTGTTTGCAGAAATATTAGATTTCAAAGTTCTGAAATGAAAATTAAATTTTTCTTAAGCTTTAGAAATTAAGGTTTCTCATTATTTTCAAGTGTTTCAGATGAAAGCTTTTTAAAGTCATATAATTTTGAAACTCTTGTGTGGAATAATTTTGTTTAGGATAATTTCAGTACGGTACTAATTATGGTTCTGTTTACTATCATTCTGCATAAAAATGTAAATTTTGTATATTCCTTCTAAAAGACGAAGTGGTCCAAAATGTAATAGACTAAGAGCTTATCATATTTCTTAACTAGAAGCATCAGTCCACGAGTAAATGTTAAAGAAATATTAAGTCTTGCGATTGTTTTGAATCTCGTTGTATAATGATTTGGTTTATTTAATTACGGCAAAGCACACTAGGGCTATCTGCCTAAGGGAAGGGATGCCTTCGTGGAGGACTTTCTAAGGGAAACTGGCTCGTATACATGTTACACATGGGGAAAACCACGAAAACGCCCATGCAGCCAGTCCGTTCGCAGGATTCGAACCTCGGACCGAACTACCAGTGTTCAGCGACTTTACCGCTCGGCCGCTGGTGGGCCCGCTGTATAATGAATACTTTATTTTAAGGTTACCATAGTGGCAAACACCATGAGTGAGCTAAATAAAAGCTTACGAAAGCAACACTTTTACTCTTCATATTTTAATATTACTGTAATTATTTAATTAATATATTAAATATTACTTTATATTATTATCACATATCATATTATACATCAAATAATTCAGCGTTTATTACAATATTCTGAAAATTGAAAGAGGCAAATAAAAAAGGAAAGTATAAAACCAATCTTTATTTTCACTCTTTTATAATACAATGATTCCTTATATGAACTGTATGACATAGTTTATTACATAATGCGTTTTAAGGTTACCATATCGGCAAAGTTTATTGCATAAAACATAACAAACTATGCAATTCATTTAAAACTCTATACTATCAATTATACATAAGAATTCGTTTATGTATTTAGCATTCTTCTCCCATACATAACATACTTTTACATAATTGACATTCTTCATCTCTTAACCCCTATATATTTTTCTTTAACTTGTGTTTGTTCTACTTCAGTAGAATAAAATATTTTGCTAAGATACAAAGAGAGTGGAACACTTTACTTCAAGTGAGAATAATGTATACAAAATTAAGTGAAGATAGTCTTTATACTCAAAACTTACTAATGTAGTCGTAAGTATAAAAAGAAAATTTAAATATACGAGTATTACACATAAAGACAGTGCATATCTTTCTCCGATATGCAAACTACATTCCATAGCACAGCTTTGGGTTAACAAATTCCGAATTCAACTACAGTATTTTCATAATTAGAATTTTGGTGCTTTTATTCTGATGATTGTTTAATAAATATTCAAGCAGGCATGATAGCTTAAAATGTGTACTATGGTAGCATCCATAAAGCTAGCATTGTATCTACTAGTCCTTTGATCAAAAGCAAATTTAAATTAACTTTAAAACCTGGCTGTAAGGGGTGGTAAACAGACCATTGAAAAAAATGTTTTAAAAACTATCAATATAATTAACATTTACATTTTTTATTTATTGGAACGTTTAAAAAATTTTAATTAATGTAAGATATTCTTCTAGATTTCAAGATATGTTTAAGTAAGCCAAAAATTTATTGAATGAAAATTAGTTATCAGTGATAAAATGATGAGAAAATGTGCAATATTTAAAGCATAAAATATTCTAAATTACCCTACAGAGCACCTCACAAACTTTAGAAAAAGACTAAGTTAGCAGGCAGTATTTCACAATTACATAAAATATCAATGCATACATATTAAACTTCAGTGTCAATATTTTCTGCATTTTGTCTTCTTCCACAAAGAAATCTATTGTCATCTGATTAAATTCTTAACGTACAAAAGAAACAATTTAGAACTGTTTTTGCTTTATAGTACTTACGTATGAACGCAATCACCTCAGTAGAAGTCGCCAAATTTTCAGAATGTGCCAAACTGTGGTAGCCATGGGTATAACCATCCTTCGGCCAACCATGTTCATAACAGTCCATCAGTCAAGCAATTTCGCCGTTTTCATATGCGTTCTTTTTTGTTGTATTCCAAGTTCCAACGGTTTTTATGAACAAATCGTGATTTTTTTTTTCCTTAAACTAAGTTTTAAATTACGAGCTTGTGGAATTTGTGAGCAACAGAAGAAACTGCGATAAAATTTCTGCAGGAATACAGAATTTTGTTAAACATTTTCTTGCCGAGGTTTGCACGAAGGCGACTCTCCGCAATTTTCTGATATTTTTTTAAGCGAAAACAGATCGCTGTGTACTTCGGGAGAAGAATAGCACAAAAAAATTACAGAAAGATTTGAAGAAGAATGCGTCTTATTTTTAATACATTACGTAATCCTTATTTAATAATTAAAATTTATATTTTAAGTTTCTAAAGTATGCTTTCATTTCACATATTGATATGATAATGCTATAAACATCGATAGCGTGGGAATCCTTCTTAAAAAAATGTGGGAAAATTATCAGCTTGCATCCGATTAGTAAGTTTTACCTTTTCATCCGTAAAAAATCCGTAAAAAATTGCGATAATGTGGTTACATTAATACGCAAGTACTATTTTATATTAAATTTGCTTAATTCCTCAGGCATTAAATGCTTTCTATTCCTTCAGAATCTAAAAGCATCCTTATTAACGTTGATTTGAACAATATTCTTGACTGATCGAAAATCTTCGTGTGATGTTGAGCGTAGTATACAAATTAGCAGACGCCAAGAAGCATGTCTAACGTCCAAGCAACAAAATAGTTCGGATTGTGGATTGCTTTGAAGCTTGATTGCTTCAATTCGCTTCTGGATAAGAATTTAATTGTCTTAGGGAATATTATATTTCAGCATACTTAATTATTGTGAAGATGTGACATTTTGTTTAAAATATGCCTTAATTAAAAATGATTGTAACAAAAATTTTATTTTTTGAAGGAATTGTTCCCAGAACCTCGAGAGTAAGTGTTAAATGCAAGTTTCAATAAAAATCAATACATTGTGCAAAACTGAGACAACGTGTCTAATCGAAAAACTGCAACTTACATTTACGTTTTACGAAACTTGCTCTCGTAACTATTCTAAGTAGGATTTCAGATTTCTAACTACAAGGACATCTTTTATATAACTGAAATATTTGCAAATACATAAAATTCAGAAGACATGTATAAATAATATTGAAAAATAGAGTGCCTTTGAATCTTCAACAATTCCAATTCGCCTTGATAACTCGTAAATTTCAAGCCTCATTCGGGGCAGTAATATGTAAATATGTAACATAAATTTACAGAATGAGCGCCTACTCTGTTCCCTAATAACACGCAAAGCCTTGAAAATGTGGAGCAAATAAAATATACCTGTTTGTATATAAACAACAATTCCATAAAATAAATAATATTTTAAACCTGAAAACATATCTAACTATACAGTTTCCAACATAGTAATTATGCACAGCTTTATAACTGATTAAATAACTGATTATACTTCAATAAACAAATATATTTATGTTAGACATGTAAAATAAGCAATTAACGTTTTTTTAAATACAAAATAACGTTTAAAAATTAAAATATTGAAACATTGAAACAGACCAAGTGAAACATACATAAATTCAAAGCTCATCAAATATACAATTGGTCCATTATACACCATTTAAAATAGTGTTAATTATTTTTCTTTGACAGTATCACAAAATTGCCAATTTTAAAAATTCGTTCCGCTTATTACGAATCTGTCCATTGCACATTCATCCATGCTTAATGCAGTTACACGCATTGTGCTTAGAATGTACTTTTAGTTCCTTGCTCGGTCACCAGCTTGCAGATACTGCAGTTTTAAAATGTCTTATTTTTTATGATTATGTAAGAAGAATCGGGAATATAAAGAGGATGAGGATATTTATCCGATGAGTATATGCACCTGGTAGAAAACAAAGTAAAGAATTCTTAGTAATAATGATTTATTAAAAGAAATGAGCTTTAAAACTAAATATTTTAATGAATTTTCGCATTTTGTTTCTTATTATTTAAATATGTGTAAAAATTTTCATACATATAAGTTATAATACTATTGGTTCATAGTTTCTCATACACCTATGCAATAGATGGTGCTATATAAAGGACAGATTTTTATGTTTTACAGAGGAATGCCCACTTGCAGCTTGCGAAGATATTTGGTGTTATGCTACTCAATAAATATTTTTTAAAAAATCTATCAGATATTTAGAGTAAAACTGAATAATTGTAGCATATAGTTAGGTTGGCTGAAAAGTTTTAAAAACTTCGTGTCTTCAGTGTATATGTTACCGTGAAAGACCGAAATTGGAGAATGTCGACTTTCACCGGAGAATGTCAACATTCACCAAATACGTCGTGAAAGATCGAATATTGCATTACATTCTTGTACATTCGGACCCTCACCGGTGTATGTCGACAATCACAGATATGCTCTGGTGTAGGTTGAAAAGAGAGGAGTATATGTACACGCTGGTCATTGCAAAAGGAAGTGTTCCACAAATAATGCAGTTGTAAAAGCAAGGGCCTCTTGTGCAATTCAAAGTGTCATAAGAGTTTAAGTTTTGCAAATAAATAAGATTTGAATCACGTAATTTAGTAAGTTTTAAACTTCTATTATTTTCCTTTCTCATTTGAATGTATAGTGTGTTTAAGTTCTTAGTTCTTAAGTTCTTATTTTAAGTTAAGTGCGTTTTTTCGCGACCGAATTACAGAGAAGAAATATAATATTCTTATGTGTTCAACATTCACCATAAGTACATGGTAAATGTCGACATTGACCGGTGTAAGTCAGAAATAAGAGTATTTGGAAAATATTCCGGACATAAACCAAGCGACTATGTGAATGTTGACATTCACCGGTGAAAGCCGACATTCTCCAGATTTCGGTGATTCACCATAACATATATACTTTTCTTTTTCCTTTTAGTTCGCCTGTTTGTGATCTTTCCAAAATTACTCTCCGTTTATTTAACTTTTAGATTTAGGCATATATTTTGATATAAATATTTTATATGTTAAATTATATATTACGATGTGAGAAGCGTTATGCAAAGACGATATGAGAAGAACTTCAGAGCGTTTTAACAGAAAATGGTAGACTAAGCAATTTATTTTATTTTAAAAAAACTGCGTGGTTTAAGACATTATGATTAGTACTTTTGTAACAGAAAGAGTAGATAAAGCTAAACATTTTACTATAATATACTATATATACTTTGAGGAAGACAGAGTACGATCTTACTCAAAATTTCATTTTAATTCTCAACAGACATAATACCCGAAATTGCAAAATGCATTAATAAAGTGAGGTTCATAGATTTTTCAGAAAAATTAAGTTTGAATTTATATTGCGTTAGAAATTTCTGACTTACGTCAAATGCTAATGACAGTATACGTACTTGATTTGCTGTCTCTTGGAACATTAGAAACTCTTTTCACAGTAAAAGGATCTGAAAAAAGAAGAGTAAATCTTTTTAAGAAAGCTATGATTATATCTAAATTTTAGCTTACTTGACTATAGCAAAGCACGTTAAGATTATCTAGCTAAGGGTAAGGATGTCTTCGTGCAGGACTTTCGAAGAGAAACTGTTTCGTATCCATGTTACACATGGGAAAAGTCATGAAGTGGCCGTGCGGCTAGCGCGTTTGCTTGGAATCGAATCCAGCTTAAACTACCAGTGTTCAGCGACTTCACCGCTCGGACGCTAGCTGGCTAATCAGTAATGCAGTCATACTGTTACACATACACAGTACAGTAGAAACTCAGTTCTTAGAACATTGATTAGAATTGATACAGGATTCTTTAATCTTGATGCTAATATCTCACAATTACCGTTTTGTAGATTTTTAGTGGTGAGCGCAAGATCATTTAAGCCAGTATTTTGCGAAAATAATGTACTATGTCGAAGTTCTCAAAACATGGTGGTGAAAAAAAAGGGAAGTGTCAAGGGAACTGTGCTTCATATCCATTTCTGACATCATAATCGAAATCCGGGCCGTTCTTTAAAAAGCCTTTAGGGACCAATTTGAATGATCAGTTACCCGAAATCATTAAGATTATTTAAATAAATGTCGGTAAAGTTTCCAGGGGTGGAAGTGAGGTATAGGTGTGAAGAGCGAAATTCTTCAAAATCTTTCGATCAATCTTTTTTTATCCCTGCATCATTCTCACTCCAAACCTTTTTTTAAAAAATTAATCTTTTCACTCGAAAGAAAAAGAAATTTCCGGGAGAGAGTATTTTTCCTAATTATGGTAACATAAACATAAAAGAACTATATTTTAAATTAATAAAGCAATTATAAATCTCTTTCTTACCTCAATTGCGGTTTATAATGAAAGAAAATTATTAATCACGACTGCTATGAAAAGTGAAAGGGACTTACTTAAAACTATCAAAAGACTGAGTCCGAAGAAGACTGTAACATGTTGTAACATGTACCGGCAGAAAGACACGAAAGAGCACCAGAAAGTTGAATGACTAAATTCTAGCTTAATGGAATTAACTAGTAAGTCCTTGAATTTCATCTGTGCTATGAAGAATGTTTTGCAGAAGAGATGGCAATGGACGTGTCTGACTGGTTTTTACCAAATAGAGGATGAAATATTTATAAATGTTCAGCATGAAAACAGAAGTGGAGATATTCAAATTTAGAAGCTCAGTTCCTAGAGCATCGCAATATTTTCATGCCCCCCCCCAAGCTCTAAGTAGTAAAGCTAAGTAGAACTGGTCTAGCGTATGCAACTAAAGAGACTCAAGTAACTTTAACGTATTGCTGCTAAGGAAACAACATTTTTATGAAAAGATTATTTAGTTTACGGAAGAGCACTATGGCTATCTGCTTGATCTACACCCGATCAAAGGCCTGCCCTTGTGATCCACTATATCTTTATAATGAGGAGACTTTAAAATGAAACTTACGTACTTAAGAATATTAAACATTTGGGAATCAATTCTTTCTTTCTTTTTTCTGTGAAAGTATTATTTAACGTGGAAATAAAATATTTAATGTTAAAATATAAATTTTGTGTTTAACTGAAGCAAAGAACACGTTATTTTTGAATAAATAGCTTACCTGATATAACATTCGGCATTAACATTTATGACAGTTCAAAGAAAATTAGCTCATTTTTCAATTCTTATGTCATTATTTTATAATACTTCATGGTAATATGTTTGCTTCAATTCCGTAATGTTTTTAATACAAGTTAAATAATTTTATTATTGCTTATTTTATATTTATTGTAATTAATGCTTACTTGAAAAATAATGCATAATGTATAAAAAACAATAATTTTTATGCATTATTGCTCAACTATACAATTTCCCTTCATTCGATATAGCAATATTTACGTTTATTATTTTTTTTTACTATACATTCATTGAATAATATATGCTGCTTACTTATATTCTTTCAATTTGATATCGCTGATTAACTTTTTTCGGAAGCAAAATTTTGATAAGGTGCCCAGCTGCTGGCTGGCAACCAAGCTGCCATTTCAAATTGTCAGAAAAGATTAGGTTTGTCGAAGTAGAAAAGAATGAAAATCAATTATGCCCCCGCCGGCACTCGAAACAAGGATCTTGCAAAGCTAGCTGCCACGAGGGCACACACAGAGGAATGCGTAAATTCTGATTTAATGGGCGGCTAGAGAGAGACATAAAACCTAGTCAACCAAGTGCAGAGACTATTAGGATTTTAGAAGCAGGAAACATAGAAAATCATCTGTGCTTTCGCCAGGACTGGAAACACGGATCTTTCAATGAGTTTACTACTTACATCACGATAGCACGCAAGGGGGAAGAAAGAATACGATAGTTCCTTATTCTATTTTTTTTTATTTAAAAAAAATTAGTTTTCAACACAAAATGATTAATATTCTGCAGAACTTTTATACAGCATGTTCGAGAAAGATGTCTGCAAGCTTTTTTTTCTTCCGTAAAAATACAAATCCTATATGTATTTTTCAAAATGCTTAATATTCTGCAGAACGTTTATGCAGCATGTTCGAGAAAGATGGCTGCAAGCTTTTTTTTCTTCCGTGAAAGAACAAATCCTATATGTATTTTTCAAAATGCTCAATTTCCCTGAATAAAATAGAAATTTTATGAAAACAGTTTCATCGCTGTGGATGAGAGATTCTATAAGGATAAAATTTAACATTTTATATGTCCTTCTGAAGCAAATATTGCAGCTAGATAAATATTGAATATTCTCTGAAATGCAAAATAAAGAACATTCAATGATTGCATGTGAAAAATTCAGGGAAATATTAGTAATTATCGGTTTCACGCGGCCGGCTGCGAGATTAACAAGGATTGCTTTTAATTTCTAAAACAGGAAGCTTCAACTTAAATTCTTTCTCCCTAAATGTGGTTGAAAAATGTAAAGTTTTACTGGGTAGTAGGCATAAAACTTATCTAAGTTGGTAAATTCGTTGTGCTGATATTCTGGGACTATATGAAGAGTTAGATTTTAAATATAGAAAGACTTCCAGTTCTCAATGAAGAAAACATTTTTCTAAAACTAACATTATTTAAGGAACTTTATGAATAAAAGTATATGCCAATATGGTTATAGAAATTTTTTGGGATAACATTCATATGTTCAAATACTGAAATATTAAAATTCATATTTTCTCACCAACTTGTTTTCGAAACTGGTAAAATGCTTCAAATCCCGTTGCATCGAATTTGTCATTGGATTTGAAGATAACTCGGAAGAAATCTGCATCTGATTCTATTAGCTTAGGTTTCTGATTTCCACAGTGCCTTGCAAGTTTACGATCTACTGTCTTGTAGTTTGAAAATTCCACATAGTCGCTTGCTGTTTCACTCAGACACCTGCGAATGCAATTGGGTTAAACTTATTGCAAACATTATTTAAAAGGAAGTTTGATTATTTATAGCTTAACTACGTTAACATGTTTACATTAAAACATTTCTCTAAGAATGCTTTAAGCTGACTTTTAATTTTATACACGATCTTCAAATTATATATAAATATACATTCTTGAAACAATCTAATTTAATCATGAAATGAGAATATTTCCCTCTAAAGTATTCATTTAAACCTAGCAAAAGATCGAATCTGTCATACAGGTTTTTCTTCTAAATAAGTCAGTAGTCCGAAAATGTCAACAGCCACTCGGATCCAAATTACCTTTGCGCATACAGAAGCATTAATTTCCCTAAAACAATTTATCGATTTATTTCACTTGAATTTTATTATTTTTATTTAAAATTCATAATTCTTTTTTAATTTTTGAATTCGATTCTGACTTTGAATTGATTTTATTTTAAGTGAAATTTTTGACGTGATGCTAAGCATTACGTCAAAATATGATGCTTTTAGCATCACGTGCTGATTATAGCAGATCAATAGAAACTGAAAAATCGAATAAGAACGCATATGACTAAATACTATATTCTGAAACAAATAAGACTGAAGTTTCAAAAACAAATATTTAGAAAAAAATTAATACCTCGGAAATAAATACAGGCTTTACTTTTGAAATTAATAAAGAATATGATCGCAACGCTTTCGAGCCTTTAATAAAATGCTTAAATAGAATTTGGGAAAATCAGTTCTATTCTTCCGCCAATATAGTCTTGAAAGCGTGAGATATCTAGAAAAAAAATTTTCTTAGCTCTTTCATGTATATACTATTAAGATCTTCCAAATGTTCAAATTAAGAGGTTTTGATGGCCAGGGTATCCTTCTAGTAACATTGGGTTTAAGAAATTCATCAACCAGGTTTGCTAGATGTGAGTAGTAAGCGGGGGTAACCGGCCGGCGGAAGTGACGTCACAGAAAAGGGGCGTGGCCAGTATCCAGATGGGCCTTGAACCGGAAGTGACGACACCAGCGCCATCTTGTTTCACGTGATGAATGACATCATCAAACTTTCGTTTTGATTCTGTGGCAACGATTTTATGTTTTCAAAGTTTTTTTTTGTGGCAACGACACTATTTTTTATGTTTATGCAAGAGCTCTTAACACGTGTTTGGAATGACATCACTTTTAATTTATTATTTTAATTATTTGACATGTGATTAATATTATTTTGTTATTTGATTAATTTTAATACGTCATAATTTAACTTTTTAATTATTAACTATTTAGTACATCATTATTTTTACTATTACCTTTAATGAATTTTTGTGGAAATTAATTTATTTCCCTGAATTTTAAAGTAACTCCACCGATGGGATTCGAATCGCTATCTCTGGGATGGGAGTCTAGCGCTTTACCGCTCGGCTACCCTGTCCTCTTAGCGTTGTTATTTGAAACTCTTTGTCCCTTGAGTTTTTGCACCATTGATGACATAAGGCTGAAAGTCTGCGCATGCGCTTTGACATGAAAACCGCGTCACACATTTGTTTTACACGACGGCTAGGATTTCTTTGGCTCTTGATCATTACTTTATTCGTGCTGTTTTAAATGTAAGCTTTCCCAGGTTAATTTTTTTTATTTAAGATATTTTTAATTGTTTTCAATTTTCATCTCATTCTTACTTTAAGTTATTAGTTAATTTATTAATTTTTATTTATTTTTTCCCCTTCCCAAACATAAATTTATTTTACTTCAAAAAAGTGAATTTAAATTTCTTTTTTTTTTTATCTTGCAAAGTTATTTTTTTTTTATATTTAATTCTTTTTGGTTTTACAAAATAATATTTATTTTACGAATTGAATTTTTCCTTTCCAATTTTTATTTTGCAAAAGTTTTTTTTTTTTTTAAAAATTTTTTCCTTTTGTATTTTTACTTTATTTTAATTTTTGTTTAACTTTCTTTTTTTACAAAAGTAATATTTTATTTAAATTGAATTTCTTTTTCACTTTTTTATTTGCAAAAGTTTTTTTTTTCCCAAAAATTATTCCGTTCGTATTTACTTTACTTTATTTAATTTTTGTTTAACTTTTTATGGTTTTACAAAAGAAATATTTATTTTTCAATTTAATTTTCCTTGCCTTTTTTTATTTAAAAAAAGTTGTTATACATTTTTAACTTAATTTTTTTACAAAAGTAATATTTAGTTTCATAATTTTATTTTTTTGAGTTTTTGTTTACACAAATGTTTTTTGTTACATTTTTATTTTACCTAACTTTTCCCCTGTTTTTAAATACCAATACGAGGTTACATTTCCATTCTCCAAAAGTAAACTTACCTACATTCTGTGTCTTTGAAATTTTAAGCTGGAATTTACATGCATATAACTTCACTAGATAATATTTTCTGAACATTAAGCCAATATACACAATGCTCTTTCTATATAGTTTAATGAATACTACATTTCTTACTTTTTTTACTACTGGTTGGAGATACTCAGAACTTTTCCTTCTAATGCATTGTACTAACTATATTATGCCTGATTAACTTTTTTGGCCAACTATACAAAACTTTGTTGATTCCCTTTTACACGTCTTACTTTTATTCAAAGGATTCACCAAACTATGTCTGACAAATGTAATTTTTACACTTTCCATTTACACATTTACCCTTATATTTAACTTATAAAACATATTCATGCTGTGTTTCTGATTCCTTTTCCACATAAATACAGACTTACACATGTTTCTTTATTGTAAGACTTACTAACTTTAAAACAAATCTTACAAGGAGAAAATAAATTTTCATGGTATGAAGCCACTCAAACCAATGCATGGAGCATTTCTACCCAGTTAAGTTTAGATACATACAATAGTATTTCTTTTCTTTATTTTACTCTACAGATATTATACATATATATTCAGAACACTCCCTTTCATCAGTAAGATCATTTATACTACTAACACAAATTTTGCTAACTCTTTGAAATTTTACGAAAATATCTGTATTTTCTTGCACACATCCTACTAAATCACCAAAATACACTGAGCCTTGATTTTTCCTTCATGTGAAAACGTCACTCGGATTTTAATATGATTCCACCATTACCGCAGAACTTTTAAACACTACTCTATTGAACTTATCACAGCCTAACTCTCTTAACAAGGTACAGAAGATTGAATTATATTTTAACTACGAGAAGAATATCCATTGTAATGAATTATTTTAAATTTGAATTATAATCACATTTTGTGAAGGAGAACTTAAAGTTATAATACACATGGAATTAATATTCAGCCATGGAATGAAATTTATCGCTTTTCCAATTTGGAATATAAAATTTGTTAACTGGAATATTTTTAACGTATAATTGTAACGTAATGAAAATACTCATATTTCCCATTGTCAATAATTTATTAGCACTGAACTCTTACAGCCTTTTGAGAACGAAATTTAATTTATCATACCTGACAAAGACTCCTACATAGTTATGATACATTCCACGAAATACTGAGTAGAGTTCCAATAATGATCTAACATAGTAATTAACATAAAAGACTAACACAAATAATTTTAAGATAGAAATTTCAAATGCATTGACTAATGAACTTTACAGCTTTTTTTGACTGACATTAACTTCTCATAGATAATAAATAAAATTACACACAATAATTAAAAATAGGTAATAATGACAGAAAGTCTATAATGATCTACTATAGTCCAACTTTAAAAATTTTAACGCATTCTATATAAGAAAGACCACACTTTTTGAAAAGCATTATTTTAATTAAACATTGGAGCCACGCAGTCCTGCGCACATGCATAACATCTTTATTTTCATGGAGCATGACACATAATAGTAAATAAAATTTTCACAAGTACAAAACACATTTCTCTTTTAACTGAACTGTACTCGTAAGAAAAATGCAGTATGGAATGCTTAGAACACTCAGGGCCACAGTTCTCACTTCCCCATGATTGACCAAAATATTTACATGTACTTAAAATCAGTTTAAACAATTCAAATGTTAGTATTCAAAGAGGAATACTTCACAATAGATGAAAGAAAGGTACACAATGAATTGAGGAAAAATTCACAAAAGCATGTAAGGACCGTGAAAAAGATGTATTCGGGAGAACTTTTTTAAGATAAACTTGCTCTATTTTGCACATGGGTTACATTTGCATTTCAGATTAGGAAACATTCAAGATAATTCCTGTTAACTAGGATTTTATTCACACTTGTTAGTACTGTAATTTATAGAACAGTCACAACATATAGGACAAGTATGCCATTTCCAAGGAAAACAATTTTACCAAGCCAGACTTAACAGTGAAATATAAAAGGGAATAGATATCCCAAATTCAAACAAAATAGTATCTGAGTATGCAAAAACATGAACAAAAACGAATATTTTTCTGAAAATGTTCCGAATGGTTAAGTCAGGACTAGTTTCTGAACAGAGCAGAAAAATAATGATGAATTTTTAATTTTATTTTGTCTGTAGTACATTTACTTATGTAAAATCTTCCATTTTGGTTGACTGTACTTTAATTCAGACCTAAGTTGATAAATCAGAGTGATTTGTGTTTTTAAGCTTCAAATTCAGAAATAACGACAACTCAAAAGCAAAAAGATTAAAACGACAAGAGAATATACTGCAAGCAAGCGAACGTGATAAATGACTTTTTGGTGATTTCGTGAATCATAGTTGGGGTGCAAATTTTAATGCTCGTATATGAACTATTTTTCAAATGTATTACGATCACCAACTTACATAGACTTTAAGTAAACATTTCATGTTAATTTACCATTTTATCTATGTATTCTAATTTTTGCATTTTGTTTATAAATATAATAACAAAGGACATAGAGAACATTGTTTCTTGAAAATGTCCATAATTTTACCCAACTGTTATTTCTTTCATAGCTTTGAAGTAACTATTAAACACATAGTTTATCTTGTATTGACCAGAAGCCGTTGGTCTTGCCAATGTCTGAGGAGTCAC